CACTCCTCGGAAGGAAGGTTGGGCAATCCTACTTCCGTAGTGATACTGCCTCGGAAACCCAAGGAGGGGTCGCTATGAGTCAGGGCTGACTCGAGGGCACCTAACAACAACAACAACAACAACCCATGAGGGAGGATTTCTGAAGGGCGACAAATACCTTGAGCTCCATCAAAAGTAGCAGTTCCGAATCTCAATGTTTTTACATAAAGATGTACCCAGATATATTTCATCTAATTTGTTTTTGACAATAAAGAGTCAAAATTTTCTAGTTATATAATTTTTACTAAGTAAATTAGAACATGAATTATACAAATATTTCTCAGTTGATCAACCTAGATATCCAGAATTTTAGAACCATTTGGTCAGGATCCTGAAGACTCCTATTTACCACATTTTTAATCCATTTATTTTCAAGTATGGTGACTTTTAAATTCTTTGAAACAGTGGAACTCATTCCTCAGATGATATATTAAGAAATAAAAATATCAATAATAGATTTGAAGGAAAGATATAAAAGGGGAGGAAGGAGTGCAGCTCTGAAATGAGTGGAGAAAGTGGGTGGGGGTGTATTGGGGACCTACAGAAACCTACTTATTTGGTTCAGCTATTCAGGCAGACCCTTCAATAACTTTTGGGGATCTACCAAACACAATAGAAAGATAATAATGCAATCTAACCAGATGGCTGGTGGTTCAAACCCACCAGCCACTCCCCGGAAGGAAGGCTGGGCAATCCTACTCCTGTAGTGATACTGCCTCGGAAACCCAAGGAGGGGTCGCTATGAGTTGGGTTTGACTTGACGGCACATAACAACAACAACAGCACTTTAGAGTAATTTAGTTCATAAAATTATTGTAAACATTTGAAAATATTAAATTTGTATATTAATTTGTAAGTCTATATTGGTATTTTAATTAAAGACTCTTTAAATGTGATCTTATGCAATCATATATACATATCATTAAATACTACGTCTCATTTTATATGTTAAACTTGGTTTTTCTTCTCTACTGATACATAGTACCTTGAAGCATTTAATTTCTATCTCTGCCTGTGGCTAACATTCAGTTCTTGACCATTTCTGTCAAAAATGCAAATTTGGTTTTTCCTTTTATAAATAATTAGAGTAAATTATATTTAATGGGCTTTTTAAGTATAGCTCTTTGACACAGCACTTAAGATGGGCAATTTTACTCTCTTAAATTATAATTTGGAATTATTTCGAGTAATGTAATATTTCTTTGATTGTTCTCTTATTTTCTGATAAATAGACTGACTGTAATAAATCTTGAGCCTGTCTTTGGTCTAGATATTTAGTAGCTTTGTGTTTGTTTTCTTTGACAGCAACATGCATTAATATTTATAACCATTTTCCTTTGCAGCATCTCCCAGATGGCTCCGTGCCCAGTGCACATGTTGAATTTTATCTTTTACCATATCCCAGTGAAGTTCGTAGGAGGAAAACAAAAGCTGTTCCAAAATGTACCGACCCCACTTACAATGAAATTGTAAGTATGATTCATCTCTAGTCCAGTCATTTTATATTTTCCTTTCCATTTTTTAGCTTAACAACCAAATATGGAGACTTCGCAGTAATTGGAAGCACTATTCCCTACAGGAAAGAGATTTCCAAAATAGCCACTGTGTGCTGATCATGGTTCTAGAGGCTGTAAGAACTCAAAATTACAGATCCTGCCTGAAGGCACTTGTAAACAAATTCATAAAGTGTGACTAATCTCCAGCAAGAGCCCAAGTCTATATGATATTTGTTTTGCACATTAACTTTATCCCTGACTTCATCTTACTTTCTCTAAACTTATTTTCCTTTACCAATAATGTTATTATAGTCTACCATGTGTGTAACAGTATATATTATAAAATCCCTTTTGAAGGCAAACAAAAAAAATGAACAAATAAAAAATTCAGATTAAGTTAAAATGAATTTATATTATAAATGGCTCTCTAGTTTATGTATGTTATACAGTTTGAACATCTAAGACCCTGTTTCTTTCTAATTCCTACACTTAATCTCTTGATTTCATCCTTTCTCATTTCTCCTGTATATTGTTTAGTCAATTTTTTACTTAATTTTTATTCACTGGCTCCTTGGTTTAAAATTCTTTAAAAAAAAAAAAAAGAGAGAGAGAGAGAAAATTCCTCAACTCACCCTTCACTTAATGCATTCAAATTTTCTTTACCTTTTTATGGCCTCCACATTTTTGCAAAATTAACTCCTACTTCCTGTTTTCACTTTACACTTCCTTTTTACCCTTTAATCCTCTGCAATCAGGTTTTTTTACCTTTATTGATACTGCTTTATTCAGGTGGCATCAACAAACTCTTAATTGTCAAATCTAGTATCTCCTCAGACTCTGCTTTCCCAGACAGCTATAGAGCATTCAACACAATTGAACATGCACTATTTCCTAAAACTTTTTTCCTTCCTCAATTCTGCCTTATCCTTCTTATCTTTTACCTTCCCTAACCAGTCCCTCATTTTATTTTACTGCCATTTTTCCTCTTAAAATATTATTCACTAAAGTTTCATAATCCATGCTGATTTCCTCTGTGTACTCTTAAAATTATCTTATGTATCTACAAATTTCCAACTATATGTAGGTTGCATTTGAATATATTCCTTAAATCCTAACCTCTTTCCTAAACTCTGCTCTGCATTTCTACCTGATTACCAAAGAGTTCCAAATAAGTATTTCCTAGAACTTTCAAGACAAGTCTGCCTCTAATATTTGCCATCTCAAAAGATACCTTTGAATGACAACTCCTTCTCCCTCACTCACATATTCAACAAAGAGAAGAAAGGAGAGAAGCTCTGAAGTGAAGTAGAAGGTGACATTCATTTGGTTCCATTGTTCAGGCAAACTATTAGGTAAATTTTGAGATTCCATAGAACACAATTGATAACAGATTATGCAATATACTTTAGGATAATTTAATTAATAAAATTATTGTAACCATTTGAAAATCTTCTAAGTACATTAACAAAGATTAATATATAGAGAGACAATAAAGACTTTGGAGATTACAAATAGAGACTTAATAGATGGTGGTGGGTGGGTTTATAGACATGATAAAGAGAGAGAGAGAGAAAGCTTTCTCTTATTTAGTAAAGAAAGATATTTGGCGTTTTATTGTTTTTCATGTAAATAGCTAAAGATATATACCCTCCCATTATCCCTAGTTTCCTTAATAGCTAATATATTATTTGTTTCCATACTTTTTGAGTACAAGGTGCTCATTCTTAGTATCAAGATATTCTGTGCTATACTTCAGCACTTGTAATTTAAAGAAACACATAATGACAGAAAGTCACAAACAATTCAGGAGAGTTTTAAATCAACTTGTTTCATTTATTTCAATCTTATAGCTGTTATAAAAACAGTAGTAAGTTCATGCATAGATATTATTTGATAATACTTGGTGTGTACATAAATTTACCAATGGCTTATGATAATACAGGACCCCCACACATACATGTCCCACTAATTAGAAATCACTGCAGTAGTTTCTCTATCAGTCTACACGTGTAGCATGAACTCAGTTTGTCTTTACCTTAGGTACATTTAAAATCATTTAAAAAGTCATTGTGTGCATGAATAGCAAACTTCAATTTATACAAAATTTTTTAAACCAGAAGAAATTCAAATTAATGTATGGATAAGTGGTTATTCTAATAATGTAGTGATCAGGAAAATAAGAGGTCATCATATAAAAAATATTTTGCTAATAAGGCTGGTTGAATTTGTAAAAGCATAAGGAAAGGAAAAATCACAATATTTAATTTTCTGCCATTATGCTGTGTCTGTATCAATACAACAGAAAAAATATAAAAAATGCAAAAGAAAGTTAAGCCAGTTTATCTTTGGTTTTACTTCCTTTTGCCCTCCATTGTTAAGTAAAACCCAAGGTCTATGCCAAGTCCTCTCAATTATTTCTGTACATCCTAAGGGGATACCCTGTACCTGCTTAAAAGAAAGCCCAGTAACTTACTGCATGGCATCCACAATGTGTTTAACTTTGCCTCTGCTTCCATCTCCTCACTCAGTGATGCTAAAATGGCTACTTACCACAGCTAGGATTTCTCAAAGTCATGTCATGTTCTGTGAGGAGTGAGAGATTGACCTTCCTCCTCTCTTTATATAAATTTCTTTGAGCAATACAAAGAGCATATTACATTATATCATCAGTGTCTTACAAAGCTTTTTATGACTATGGTTCTTTCCTTCTTGATTCACATCCCTCTTTCTCTAATACCCAGACATAAGAGAGGATGGCTCAGGGGCACTTCCTAGTGACAGAGGTTTGCCCTTCAGATATTAAGGTTTTGAGACAAGGCCAAGCTTGTCTACACTTCTCAGAGTGAGTCCTAACAAGCTTAGCCAGCAGTTTCTCTGACAATCTTCATCACATACAAATCCCAGTGGTATTAGTAGGCTCGAAGTGGGGAGAGACTGAGACTAGGAAAGCACCTGGAACTGCCTTACAGCTTTTAAGAAGCTGCTTAGGAACGTACCAAATGTGAGTGACCAATATGGCAGCATTGAGGATGAGAAAGACAGAGAGAGTTACATGGGCAGTACA